TGTGGGCCAACAGCAGAGAAGGCAGGTGGTGCAGAACAAACAGATTCCGTTGAACATCCACCAAATGAAGCAGCAGCAGGCGCGGTCCGCGGCCCTGCAGGACCTGATTCGAGTGTTTAAGGAGTGGTACGAGAGCGAGTTTGAGCGGCGGAGGGCTCAGTCAGGCCCCGGGGAAGAGAAACGTGCCGCAGCACCAGTTCTAGAATGCAGAATTCTAACGCGACCCGATAATATCTGGTATAACAATACCTCTCGACCAATTCCCACATATTATGTGGGAATTGGTCGAGAGGTATTGTTTGATGTGTGGCTTGCAGTAGTGTCAGGAAAGGAGTTACCTTCTATCCTCTGTCAATCACTTTGCTCTTGCAGAATCGGTGCAATGTGTGAGACACGTGGTTGGGACCATGCTCATGCCGGTGGGGATGCTCTTAAACAAGATCAGCTTGTTCTGTACCAACTTCCAAGCCCACAGTACTCGCGTACGACCAGGCGTGCAACTTGAAACCCCCCAGCTTCCAACCTACCGTAGGCCTGATTTTTGATGTCCAACCGCGGCACATACAGCGTCGTGGTTTAGACCTCTCGACGCCCACATGTGTGACAGGCCGAGAACGCGTCAACCTCACGACTAGCTGTGGCATGGGACTCACCGACAATTAAGCATTTAAAATTTTTAAATCGTTGCCCCCCATTCCCCGCCAAGTCGCGACTGTTCCCGCCCAACTACAGCGTGAATCTACCGCATGCGTTAGGATATGCCTCTATGATACCCTGTGATAAAGTGTCTTCAGGTATGGAGGGCAACAACCCCTTGGCGAAAGATACCACCGCAACGGGCGCTTGGACTGTGCAAATCACTCATCGATTCTATTTCCTAAAAACCTCAACCCCTGCCACCGCATCCGCTCGGGCAAGCAAGCGGTTGCTGCCTCGATCAGCGAAATTGTCACTATACTACACTCACATCATCGAGTGCGATTTCGGCCGAAAACTGGTCCGCTTCATCGCTGTAAAGGGGCGAGCCTTGTGACAGCGGAAAAAAAATGTCCTTCCTGGCAATTATCAGGGGGTACTATTTCAGACCATAGACGAGAGCCCGCAATAGTGGGAGACGGCAGGGCGCGTCAGCTGAGCGAGGGTTGAGCATGACGGTGCGAGGACTGGAAGGTTGGAACGGGAGCTGTATTATGTGGTGGAGGCATACTGGTTGCGACTATGCAAAGCTTGCGGGGTGATGGCTCGGGTATGTTTTTTCTGAAAGAGGTTGAAGCTCATCTCAAACGGCTGAGAGATAACGGTGACGCGGATGTAGAGAAGTTGCAGCCAAAACTCGAGCATTTACGGCAGAGTTCGGAGAAGCGGCTTTTGCCTGCCTGAATGGTTTGCAACTAACTAGCATCCAAATCCCTACCCCATCCGGGCGGTCTCTTACTTCAACCTTCTGGCAGCATGAGGTGGTACTTCCGTGGAAAGGACATCAAAGAAATCCCTGAGTTATACCACCATTATCTCCGCACCTGCGTCAAATGTTGAGTCTGATGTTGACTTAAACTGCATGAGACAAGGACACATAAACCCAGAGAACTGTAGGGCTGGCACAAATTCTATTTTTTAGTACAATTCTGGCGTCCTCACACAATCCCCTTTTCAGTCTGCAATTCGCGTCTGCAGTGCGGCAGTGCCGACTCCGAAAGTCGACGTCAACACTGCCAGCACCCGAACCCCGGTGCATGTCTCTCTTGTCCCTCTGTCGCCCTCTCCAGAGCCCATCTCCCGCCTTAACACCACCGCTCGCATGCAGAATCCTCCGCGCAGCTCTCCCTCGTAAGAGCATCCAAAGTCGTCCTCACCCCTCCCCACGCCATGGCGAACAACAAGAACCTTGAAGAGCTAATCGCCGCCATCGGCGACGAACCTCCCCTCAGCTCCACCCCCTTCAACCCGCCGACCACGGTCCCCATAGCGGCCCCCCCACGTACTGCTACTACCAACTCCCGACCCCGCGTCGCCAATCCGGCCAGCCAGCATCTCAACGGAAGCGTTCGCGGCAACTTGGACGAGCTTGTACAATACCTCGGAAGCACCCCTGGCCGCGCCGTCACCCACCCCCTGGCAACACCCCAACCTCAGAACACTCAAGTATCCCCGTTTGGCGTTCCCACGGTCCCCATCATGCCGTTGCAGGCACGTGCGCAGGCCCATGCACGTATGCCCAATATCAACGCCAGAGCCGCCGACAGCAAGGTTTCTGCCGAATATATGAGACAGCAGCTGCAAGCAAAGGCCATCCCGAAGAGAGAGCCTACCGCATCCGTCGGGGGGCACGTGCGCGCTGTCACAAGTAGCGCTGCGGCGAGTTCGCAGTCTGCCGCGTCATCAGCCCGGCCGGATATTACGGCCGAGCTCAACGCCGTCATGAAGAAAACTGGCACTTCAACCCATGCTAGGGGAGCTTCTCGTGCCGTGCCAGTCGCAGGGATACCGCAGCAGCGCATGCCACCAGGCCAGCCCGCACCGGGGCAGGGCCGTCCTCAGGCGGCTAAGATTTCGCAAGAGCAAGTTATCGTTGGTCACTTTTGCTGCTTTGCGATCAAGACTCTGAATAAAGTTATGGAAGGAAGCCCGCTCAAACAGACAGCGGAGGTCAGCTTAAGGGAGCATATTAAGAAAGCGTGGGCTCAGTGGGTGAGAGGGCACATTCCGCGGCAGAAGCTGCTCGAGTCTGTAGCTCGCTTTGTGCGAGATAGCTGCCCCCAAGCGTTTGGCATTGACCTGATTCGAGAATTTAAGGAGTGGTACGAGAGCGAGTTTGAGCGGCAAAAGGCTCAGTCAGGCTGCGGGGAAAGAAAGGTGTCGCAGCAACAGTTTCAGCATGTGGGCCAACAGCAGAGAAGGCAGGTAGTGCAGAACAAACAGCCTGGCCAGCCCGCACCGGGGCAGGGCCGTCCTCAGGCGGCTAGGATTTCGCAAGAGCGAGTTATCGTTGGTCACTTTTGCCGCTTTGCGATCAAGACCCTGAATAAAGTTATGGAAGGAAGCCCGCTCAAACAGACAGCGGAGGTCAGCTTAAGGGAGCATATTAAGAAAGCGTGGGCTCAGTGGGTGAGAGGGCACATTCCGCGGCAGAAGCTGCTCGAGTCTGTAGCTCGCTTTGTGCGAGATAGCTGCCCCCAAGCGTTTGGCATTGACCTGATTCGAGAGTTTAAGGAGTGGTACGAGAGCGAGTTTGAGCGGCAGAGGGCTCAGTCAGGCCCCGGGGAACAGAAAAGTGCCGCAGCAACAGTTTCAGCATGTGGGCCAACAGCAGAGAAGGAAGGTAGTGCAGAACAAACAGATTCCGTTGAACATCCACCAAATGAAGCAGCAGCAGGCGCGGTCCGCGGCCCTGCAGGACCTGATTCGAGTGTTTAAGGAGTGGTACGAGAGCGAGTTTGAGCGGCGGAGGGCTCAGTCAGGCCCCGGGGAAGAGAAACGTGCCGCAGCACCAGTTCTAGAATGCAGAATTCTAACGCGACCCGATAATATCTGGTATAACAATGGGCGACTCCTGAAATTCTAAAATCGCAAATTGTGTTGACCAAATCGGGATTTTGTGACACACAAACGGCGCGTTGTGCACACACAACGCGCCGTTTTCTCGGACGGGCGACCCCATGCTAGGTTAAATGTGTATCGCACAAATGTCAAAATGTGCGCGCGTACAATCCAAATTTACTGTACACAGAGAAAGCGTCGGCCGCCGCCCGACCGACGAGACTCGACATCTACATCCTACCGAGCATGGCTCTGAATGAGAAGTAGCAATAGAATAGCCATTTGGTCATTCATGGTTCTGACGGTGGCTGCTCGGTGAAAACACCATCATGATTGAGCTTAGCTCACAGCACACACTGTAGATAGAGCTCCGACGGCGTCATCGCCGGCGTCCGGTGCCGTGCTCGTCGTTAGGAACGACCCTGACACACCGTGCTCGTCGTTAGGAACGAGTTCAAAGCATGCGTACAGTAGGGGGACGCACATTATGTGCGCAAGCATTTCCGTGGTAAAACTCATTTTTTGTTCACAAAAAAGAAAAGGGCCATTTGCGGATCTTGGGGTGACAGGTGCGGCTTTTGATGCCCTTGGGGAGGTGAAGTTCTAGCCCTGGGGGTGTTTTGGAGGCGACTACCCCAATTGAGGTGGCATTGAAGGGTGACGTTCCTCATTCATCCAATTCCGAGGGTGACGTCGCCCTAAGAAAACGACATGTTGAAACATGCCGATCTTTGTCTGTGTCTATAGGGCGACATTGGATCGTTTTCTGAGATTGATGTGATTTCAGTTGGAAATATAGGGTGACTTCATATGCGAAACACCGGCAACTTCTACCCACTCTATCTACATACAATTACATACAGTATTTTCCGTATTTTCCATACCACGGAAGCATGTTTACCTAGTGTTTTCATCCCCATAAAGCTGTCTCAGTGCACAATCAGTAACAGTATGCGTCTCAGAACGACAAAGAGAGCAAGTGTACTTCCTCTTTGATGGCGCAGGTCCGTTCTCATACCAGCTCTTCTTACGTTTTCCCGCGTTTTTCACTGGCCTCCCACGAGGAGGAGGGATAGCTTTGGGAATTCTTAAGTTCTGACCAAAAGCTACTAACCGTTTCGCTTGTTTGATAACTTTGTCGACAGAGTATTGCGCCGGCATTGAGTAACACAAGCTGTAGTAATTCTCTTTCCATGCTTTCGTCAAATGTCGTCGTGCAACGTGCTTATACAAATTATTAGATCCGTACTTCTCACATATGACAGCCGTTCCGTGATAGCAAGGAAAACCGGAACCATCTCGTGAATGCATGCAGCATGAAGGGGGCGTGTTTGGCTCTGAACGCATGACTACATGCCTCAAACGCGTTCCGTCCACCACGCTTCGTACCGTCGCCTCCATTTGCCCCGTTCCCTCTACAAACCTAACAGACTCCTTATAAACTCTTGATCTCTGAATGAGTAGCGCAAGACGTTGTTCAATGTGAGGTGGTACGGGACTCTTGCAGTTCATTGCAGTTGCTTGCCGCTTCAAAAAGGCAGTTTGCTGTGTCGACACAACTTTCTCCAGCATCTTTTGAGGCTCCACTGTCCTGATGTGGTTTCGCAGGGCGGCGGACATACCACTTTCAGCTCCTTGAGATGTCGTGATTAGATCTTGCAACATCGAGCATGCTCTGTACAGCTCACTGTCATCAAACCTATTAAGGTAATCTGACATCTTCATCGGGAAGTCTTTTTTGGCTTGAATAACCTCATCCCTGCTTGGGTTTCGAAGCGCTTTATCGTACATGCGCACACCAACAACCTTTCCCGCACCCAGTGCTGTAGCGAGATTTTTTCGGACATGCAGTGGGTCCAGGAACAACTTCGCGTGCTGCATGCACCGCTTGTACGCTGAGTCGATATATTTCTCCTGGTCGACAATTGTCGTCCTCGTAGGTACATCAAACCCTGGGATATCCGCGGCGGCAGCAAAAACTTTCTCCCACGAGTCCATTCCCTCAGCTCCCACGAAATGGGCGAACACCAAGGGGCAGAGTTGATGGTTAGTGTCGTATCCGAACACTTCAAATGTGGTTCCGTAAGAACGGCGGCCCAAACCCTCGCAATGAGCGGCATCCGCTGCGCATGTCATCCTGCCCTTTCTACAGAAAGCTTCTGCAACCATCGGGACGAAGAGGAACCCGCCATAATATTTACCCTCATCCGCAATATCCGAGACGTCCACATCCTCTACATTAAACCCGGATTGTAGGGATCTTAGTTTTTCAGAGTATGAAAGTTTTTGCTGTTGTTTGTATATGAATCGTGCAGCCTTGATGCGCTGCGCCTTCATTTCCGTACCGGACAAGATGAAAATGTCCACCCTGTGCCCCAATTCCCTCAACAGATCAGAGTATCCTTCCAGGGCAGCCATGTCAACGGCTCGAGCAGCTGAGATGTATCTGTTCAGCTCGCGCCTCACAGCGCGAATGTGTGAGTTTGCTGGTTGTCGACGGTAAATTGACTTCGCCCTTAAAATGGACGCTAGGACGCTGGTGGGCATGTCAGGGTTCAAGGCGAACTCATCACGAAGCGCCCGTGCGGTCTGCTCAGCGGTATACGCCGGTCTAAATTGACAGGACTTTCTGTCGACTGACTGCCCATAGCACTGGTTTTCGTGCTCTTGGAACCGATTCAACTTCCACAATCCCGATTTCGGTTGCCGATTAAAAGTGAGAGTTGCGGCACAATGCTTTCGTCGACAGTCCATACGCACCATTTCGAAGTTTTTCACCACATTCACTCCCTCCGGCACACCCAAAGTCGCAGTATATGCTCGAATGAGCTGCTCGCAGCGCCATCTTCCGGAAAGCTGAATCCCAACCTCAGGGGTATACGGGACGCATCGCCGGGGAACCCACGTCATCTCTGCTACTCTATCCGCCGCTATTTCCGCCATTGCCTTCCGCTGACTTCTCTTTTTTGACACTCTCTTTTGTTCCGCTCGCCGTTTCTTCTGTTCGTCTTCAGACAAAGTTCTGAGGTCAACTGGCAACACCTTTTCAGCCGCAGCTGCTGCATCACAAGCTTCTCCATTGCTGCTGGTGTCTTCAGGCGTGACGGCTATGTACGCTCCGAAATCAAAGTCATCGTCGTCAATACATTCCGGGCGAGGGGAACGAGAGGAATCTGCTTCATCTTCCATCGAACTTTCTTCTTCGGCATCAACATCCTCATCGTCCTCTTCCTCATCCGAGTTCACCCCGTCACCCCCCTCTATATCCCAATCATCTTCAGGCGCCCCAACGAACTCCGCTTCCTCACCATCTGGGCCGTGACCCATTTTAGATTCAAACTCTCTACCCAGGACATCGGTCATAAAATCGGTTCCGTCAAACGAAGATGTATGGATCCTGGGGGAATTATTCCGAGCCCCTCCTTGGCTCCTTGATTCATGACGATCCCTTCGTTCCCTCCTCTGCCTCTCTTCTCGTTTCCGCGCCTCATTATCCATACGTGCTCGTTCCTGATAAGACATTCTCTTCTCTCTGCGCTCCCTAGCCATCCGTTCCCGCCTTTGCGTAATCGTCTCAGGCTTTTCCACCTGACATATGTTTTCGTCTTCCGTTTCCCATTCTTGTCTCACTTCCTTCTCCCTCCGCTGATGTCCCCTTTCACTTTCCGCTGAGCCTTTTCTTTCCCTCTTTTCCTCCAATGCCTGCTCTTTTTCTCTCTCCGCTTCCTCCCTCCTCGCACGTACTCTCTCCTCCTCTAGCCCCTGCTCCCTTTTACGTCTCAACTCCTGAGCTCTTTCTTCTTGCATCCTTTCTTCACGATTGCGACGCCCCTCTCTCTTTTCCCTTTCTTCACTTTTTTCCGTTTCTTTGCTCCTATCCTCGCCTTTTTCCGCTTGAGAAGACATTTCCTCCTCCTCAGCCATGACCTTTCTTCGAATATTCTCCCTTTCCTCCCTTAACATGAGTTCGAGTAGTTTCTCCTTCGAGGTTGGAATGAGTGTAAAAAGTAGTGTTGCGGGAACCAAATTTGAAGCATCTTCCCCGTTTTCCATCTCATCAAAACGAATGTCTCTCTCAGCTTGTTCTTTTGCGCGAGTGAGCTTTTGCATAGCTTTATTCGCGGAGGAGCGATCCGACACACATCTGTCCGGATGAACAAGAAAAGAGAGCTTCTTGAAACGCTTTTGTATATTGCGCAAAGTGGGCTCGTCACTTTCGTCCGCCGTATCTCCGGGATGAGCGCAACAAAAGACGTCAATTACGGGCGTTTCGTTGATGATGATTGTCCCAAAGTGATGCAGGGCCTTTCTGGCGTCTGGCAGAAAAGATCGCATTATCCCGCCAAAATATGGCAGAGAAAAAGGGGAAAGAACATAGGGTGACAGTGAAAAGCGAGCTGCGGTGCGAGGGATACTTCCGGAGGATGGATTTTTGTGGGGTGACTCTCGGAGAAAGTGGTCGAGGCGCAGGCCGAGGCGCAGGGTATTTGACAAGAATATCTGCGCTGCGGACGCCCTACAAATGAGACACTCATGCCGGCCAGAAACATTGTTTCTGGAGGACCAGTATTTCATACGAATTGCTCAATTTTTGCAGATAATGCGCCATACATGCCATTTGTGCAATGTCCGAGTGTTTACCAGAGCTTTGAGGCCCACATTTACGTCACATATCGTTGTTGTTGTACACTAGTTTTGAGAGCTGCTCCGTAGCACGCTGATTATTGAGAAAACCCAAAGTTTACAGGGATACATGTTTTGTCACCCGTCCTATCTACTCGTACAAGTAGTCTCAATTTCACCGAAGCTCTCTCAACTTTTGTACTGAAGCGGTGGAATGGAGGGTATGAGGGGAAGAAGGGGTAGCGGATGGGTTGTTTGGACCGAGAAGTGAAAGCTCAAAACCTCCAATGATTACCGCAATGTACGCATGAGACAAAGGTCGTTAATGGTTCATCTGCGGACCGGGTCTGCATCTGGTAATAAGTACATTTTCTTTGCTTGCATTTTCCGCACTTGAACATATCAGTACTTGCCTCTTGCTTGCTAAACGGCATCGCATCTCTGGTCATCTTAGCACGAACTTCCTCCCGATTCTTTCGTAGCTCATGATGAGGGCGCAGGCGTCCGTTTCGCCGAGAATTCGTTCAGAGAGGACAGGGGCGTTGGGGTGTTGGTCAATACAAATGCAACAGCGTTTGATCACATGAGCAATGTCCCAGTCGATGGGAGTGGTGGCCTACCAGTAGGTGACGGTACTGGGGTGTCGCCGTAACAACTATATGTGGACAGATAGACTTTCTTCCTTTTCCAAATTGTTCATCATAGATTGTGTAAATGGGAGCCTGTACAAGTCTGATACCATGCAAGTTTAACAGCTCCGATGTCTTGTTAAGCATGTGCATCCAAGCGATGGAGGACGCCGTTTGAGCGGAAGCAAGCGAGGAAGAGTTCCTCAATAATGTAAAGTCTCTTCACAGAACCCGTATATACATGTCATACGGTCGAGCCATATGAGCGATATCCACGGCGCATCATCGAACGACGTGGAATTATCAGTTTCGCTGCAAATACAGTACTTCGTAGGGACAGGATAATGACGAGGACAGCTTGCCGAGAGATACAATGGCCACCTTCGACACCTGTTGATTGGCGGAATGCGTTCTGACCATGACACTAGGCCAATATGAGTGATTCCCATATGGTGACCTTGCTGGACAATGAATGAGGATCCGGACTGCAGAGGGCAGGCTGTGATGTCCGCACAAGTATTTGGTTGTTCCAAGAACATTTTAATACGCAAACCAGGCAGCTACATTACTCATGAGTCCTGCACTGTCGTCGGAGTGAGCGCCACATCGCTAGATGAAAAAGGCTATGAAACAGTGACAGAAAGAATCGCTCCGGCTGCATTTCAGCCGCACCAGAGACAAGAAAGGGAAACCTACACTATCAACAATACGGGTGCACCACCTCTCCCATGACCCGCACGCCCAGCAATACGCCCGCCACCCCGTCGTCTCCGCCCACTCCTTCCCGCCGCAGCCCATGCACCCGACGGACCGCCGCCCGCCGCTGCCCATCGACATCAAGCCGGTCCAGAAGCCCACCGCCACCTACGAGCAGGATGACTCCCCGCTCATCGAGCCGCACATCGCCATGCAGATGGGCGGCATCCCGTACGCAGACCTGTGCAAGGAAAAGGCCCGTGAGGCCTTCAAGGAGATGAAGAAGAACGAGCACATGGCCAAGGGCGAGTTTGACCGCATGAAGCGCCGAAAGAAGGGTGATACCTCGATGACTCCGCTTGAGAAGTACACACGCCGTCTGAAGATGAACCAGGACTCGGCCGCCGCCGCACGCTACGCGCAGGAGGTGTACGTGCACATGTTGGAAAAGCTCGTGAGGACGACTGAGGAGGAGAAGAAGGGCTTCATCCTTCAGGTGCAGCAATTGCAGCAGGAGAACGCAAAGCTCAAGGATAAGATGATGCAAATGTCGCAAATGAGACAAAGAACAAGGACGCTGAAAGCGTTGTCCAGGAACTCTGGTACACAAGTAGCATGACATGTACAGTGAAAATCACTACCGAGAATACGACTGTGCCGAATGCCCACATTCTCAGCATCTGCCCACCGGCCTGCGGAATGTCACCAAAGCCCCAGAAGCAAACAAAGAACACTACATCTGATTGCCATATTGCTGAGAGAATCCAGCTCAAAAAGACGCGAAAGTTGTACGCCGTGTTTCTTTGCCCCTTTGAATACATTTCAGGGAAAGCAAGCGCATATTCGGCAGTCAATTCCTGATCGAATATACCGAGGACAATGGGAGGAAGCGATGCCAAAAGCAAATTGTAAAGACCCCCCATCCAGGGATCCAAGAGAGGCTGACCTGAAAATGCTGAAAAGAATGCCCAATAGATCTCACAAAGAGTCAGCGCCGCATTTCGGTATATTGTGAACAAGACCATTTTTGAGAGCCGTTTGTAGCTCCATCTGCCATGGACTAGCATTACACGCCCCAAGAAACGAAACTGACCAATAGAGTAGTCTGAGGCCAGTTTGGCCTCTTGCCCTTCCAAGCTCACAATTCCCATCCCCACATGGGCCGCTTGAATCATACCGACATCATTAGCGCCGTCTCCAATAGCCAAAGTAACTTTGTCCTTGTCAAGCCGGCGGACCAGCTCGACAATCTCAGTCTTTTGCTTCGGACTCACACGGCAAGCGATGACTGATCGAGCCATGTTTGTCACTACCATAAACCGTTTCTGGAGTTCCTCTTCGAGAGCGTAATGCAATGTTTGTCCGTCAATGACCAGGCCAAGCTTTCGTTCCATTGCTGGATCTGTACGCATGGCGCTCCACCTGCCAAGTGCCCGGTCAAGCTGCGCAGCTGTATCTTCGAGATTGTCCTCATTGATGATCACGACATCCATGCCTTCGTCAATGGCGCCGCATGACAACCCAATATTAATGGCTGTCTCTTGTTTGTCCCCGGTTAGTACCCATACCTTGATGCTGGCTTGTTCCAGCTTCTTTAAAGTCTCTGGAACACCATCTTGGAGTTTGTCTTCGATAGCAGTCGCACCCAGCAAGGTAAGATCACGTTCGAATTCGTCAACAACTGCAGCAACTTTTTCTTCACGATCGATTAACTCGGAATTCGCGTGCCGATATCTTCGATGCCAATCTTGAAACCCATCGTCATCAAGATCTGCATAGGCAAGACAAAGAGTGCGCAATCCTTCCACTGCGAATTCATGAAGATGCTGCTCAGTGACATCGGGTGACTGCCCTTCAGCCAGTCTCGCAAAAATGATGGCGTCTGCGCCCTTTGTGTAGATCCTTAGCTTGCCATCCAGATCTCGAGTTATCACGCTCATCCTCTTTCTCGTGGAATCAAACTCGATTGTTTCCACTAAATCATGTGTCTCGCTTCGTCCGAATACATCAATAACTGTATCACGATTAGACCTTGATAAATAAGTGAAGCCTAGAATACGTGCTGCATTCACTAGTGCCGCCTCGTCAGGAGATGACGCTTGATAACTGATCACTCCCGAATTGTTGTTCGACCCATTCAGAGAACTTAAATTTCGCTGATTCTCATCTGCTGCGCTAGCCCCTGCGATCGTTGAAGCCCATACAAGAGAGAAGGACTGGCGCGCCCTGTTTCGATTCCCTCCTCGCGACAGTAGCAACTCGTTCGGCAACGCGGTCCTTCCCTGCTTCCTCCGCCTGGCCGACCCTTCTCTCCCTCTCTTCCAACTTGCGCACCCACGCATGTAGCCTCCCCTGCTCGACGCCCGAGTACTTCAAGCTGGCGAAGAAGGAGCGGGAGGGGCGGGGGATGAACACGAGCAGCGTGAGGGCTTCTTGGAATTGACAGGGACTTTAACTAGCTCCCTCACTTCAGCCACGCGCAAATTTTTGCCTCATCTCCGCCAAGGAGACGAAGCACATCTTCGGTTAATGCGAACGGATACCTTGAAGCGCTATCATGGACAATACCACGGTTGCAGTCCAGCGCAACGCAATGATCTACAATTCCGTGTTCCACTATTCGGACTATCTACACGCCTTGATTATGGTGCGCAAGCCACTTGAAAGGATTTGCATCGAACGCCTTCTTCACAGCTTTAGGAACTCGGCGCACTGATAGTTGAGCGGGAATTTGGTGAACCAGAGAAAAGAGTTGCTTGAGTGTTTTGATCTTCATCGGATGCTTCCGAAGGTACTTGTCGACGCTTGTTCCTCCTGTGGTACCATATAGCGCACAAGTGCCGTTGGACAGCGCAGCCGACACGCATGAATCGTCGTTGCTGCGCACGAGGTTCGGGCCATACTGGTGCACCGCAAACCTTCTTGATCCAGTGATTTGTCCGCGTGCCCCAATACCACCGATGAGTATCGGTACACCGCGATGGGCCATCATCCACGCATACAGTCGACGGAACATCTCTTGCAAAAACTTTTTCTTGCGCGGCAAGTCGTTGGTACCATCATCTATCGCGTTTAATAGAGCCTGCATCGTGTGAAGGGATAGTGTAATCGAATTGGCATCGATAGGCCAGAAACTTTCGTCACCGCCTGTCAATCCGGCGGCAGCGTACAAAACGCCGTCTTGCATTTTGTGGCCGCTTGCCCCTTGTCGGCCATCACCAATCATCACCCTGTCAATCGCCCAGCTCATGGTGTCCAAGAATACTAGGAATGTTGCACCTCCCCGGAGATCTGCACAAACTTCCGTTCTTAATGGACACGCGTGAGATGGGCGCCGGGCTCTTTGGTGCGGGTTCCGGGTCACTTGGAGACGCGGCCGCGGTGCACCGTGCTAGAGGCAGGGTGAGCAAGGCGATGAAGAAGACGGGTGAGGGCATTGCGGCGAGATGTGCGGGGGGGGAGCTGGGGAACGTAGACGCCGAAAAATGGCGGGTTCAGAAGGCAGAACGTACGCCGCGTGACCGCGCGTCACCGTATGCCACTGTGGTGGGCACTGGGCGGCCTCTAAAGCACACTATATTGTTTCAGTTTTGAGAGCGCTTTATCCAGCGCGAAACCGTGCGCTGGCGTGCTTTTATAGGGGTGACATTAAAACAATCATGCATTTCTAGGGCGACTTTTCTAACATTTAGGTCTCTGCCGAAATGCCACGGATGTATACGTTTTTATGGGGTGACATCCCCGAATATGAGTTTGTTGGAGGTGACTTTACGATCGTTTTTCTGTCACCCTAGAAAACGTGCATTGTCACCCCCTGAAAAGGACACCATGGACCAAAATCACCCTACTAGCAAAGCACTTTTTAGTAGTGTCGCCCTATAAAAAACCCCACCGCATTGAAATCGCCCCACGTAGATTTCACTTTGGCCGGGTGTCGCCCCAAAATCTACACTTTGACCCAAAAGAAAAATATGACTCTGACACAAAAAAAAATTTCCGGAGGCGCCCAATACCTCTCGACCAATTCCCACATATTATGTGGGAATTGGTCGAGAGGTATTGTTTGATGTGTGGCTTGCAGTAGTGTCAGGAAAGGAGTTACCTTCTATCCTCTGTCAATCACTTTGCTCTTGCAGAATCGGTGCAATGTGTGAGACACGTGGTTGGGACCATGCTCATGCCGGTGGGGATGCTCTTAAACAAGATCAGCTTGTTCTGTACCAACTTCCAAGCCCACAGTACTCGCGTACGACCAGGCGTGCAACTTGAAACCCCCCAGCTTCCAACCTACCGTAGGCCTGATTTTTGATGTCCAACCGCGGCACATACAGCGTCGTGGTTTAGACCTCTCGACGCCCACATGTGTGACAGGCCGAGAACGCGTCAACCTCACGACTAGCTGTGGCATGGGACTCACCGACAATTAAGCATTTAAAATTTTTAAATCGTTGCCCCCCATTCCCCGCCAAGTCGCGACTGTTCCCGCCCAACTACAGCGTGAATCTACCGCATGCGTTAGGATATGCCTCTATGATACCCTGTGATAAAGTGTCTTCAGGTATGGAGGGCAACAACCCCTTGGCGAAAGATACCACCGCAACGGGCGCTTGGACTGTGCAAATCACTCATCGATTCTATTTCCTAAAAACCTCAACCCCTGCCACCGCATCCGCTCGGGCAAGCAAGCGGTTGCTGCCTCGATCAGCGAAATTGTCACTATACTACACTCACATCATCGAGTGCGATTTCGGCCGAAAACTGGTCCGCTTCATCGCTGTAAAGGGGCGAGCCTTGTGACAGCGGAAAAAAAATGTCCTTCCTGGCAATTATCAGGGGGTACTATTTCAGACCATAGACGAGAGCCCGCAATAGTGGGAGACGGCAGGGCGCGTCAGCTGAGCGAGGGTTGAGCATGACGGTGCGAGGACTGGAAGGTTGGAACGGGAGCTGTATTATGTGGTGGAGGCATACTGGTTGCGACTATGCAAAGCTTGCGGGGTGATGGCTCGGGTATGTTTTTTCTGAAAGAGGTTGAAGCTCATCTCAAACGGCTGAGAGATAACGGTGACGCGGATGTAGAGAAGTTGCAGCCAAAACTCGAGCATTTACGGCAGAGTTCGGAGAAGCGGCTTTTGCCTGCCTGAATGGTTTGCAACTAACTAGCATCCAAATCCCTACCCCATCCGGGCGGTCTCTTACTTCAACCTTCTGGCAGCATGAGGTGGTACTTCCGTGGAAAGGACATCAAAGAAATCCCTGAGTTATACCACCATTATCTCCGCACCTGCGTCAAATGTTGAGTCTGATGTTGACTTAAACTGCATGAGACAAGGACACATAAACCCAGAGAACTGTAGGGCTGGCACAAATTCTATTTTTTAGTACAATTCTGGCGTCCTCACACAATCCCCTTTTCAGTCTGCAATTCGCGTCTGCAGTGCGGCAGTGCCGACTCCGAAAGTCGACGTCAACACTGCCAGCACCCGAACCCCGGTGCATGTCTCTCTTGTCCCTCTGTCGCCCTCTCCAGAGCCCATCTCCCGCCTTAACACCACCGCTCGCATGCAGAATCCTCCGCGCAGCTCTCCCTCGTAAGAGCATCCAAAGTCGTCCTCACCCCTCCCCACGCCATGGCGAACAACAAGAACCTTGAAGAGCTAATCGCCGCCATCGGCGACGAACCTCCCCTCAGCTCCACCCCCTTCAACCCGCCGACCACGGTCCCCATAGCGGCCCCCCCACGTACTGCTACTACCAACTCCCGACCCCGCGTCGCCAATCCGGCCAGCCAGCATCTCAACGGAAGCGTTCGCGGCAACTTGGACGAGCTTGTACAATACCTCGGAAGCACCCCTGGCCGCGCCGTCACCCACCCCCTGGCAACACCCCAACCTCAGAACACTCAAGTATCCCCGTTTGGCGTTCCCACGGTCCCCATCATGCCGTTGCAGGCACGTGCGCAGGCCCATGCACGTATGCCCAATATCAACGCCAGAGCCGCCGACAGCAAGGTTTCTGCCGAATATAGGAGACAGCAGCTGCAAGCAAAGGCCATCCCGAAGAGAGAGCCTACCGCATCCGTCGGGGGGCACGTGCGCGCTGTCACAAGTAGCGCTGCGGCGAGTTCGCAGTCTGCCGCGTCATCAGCCCGGCCGGATATTACGGCCGAGCTCAACGCCGTCATGAAGAAAACTGGCACTTCAACCCATGCTAGGGGAGCTTCTCGTGCCGTGCCAGTCGCAGGGATACCGCAGCAGCGCATGCCACCAGGCCAGCCCGCACCGGGGCAGGGCCGTCCTCAGGCGGCTAAGATTTCGCAAGAGCAAGTTATCGTTGGTCACTTTTGCCGCTTTGCAATCAAGACTCTGACTAAAGTTATGGAAGGAAGCCCGCTCAAACAGACAGCGGAGGTCAGCTTAAAGGAGCATATTAAGAAAGCGTGGGCTCAGTGGGTGAGAGGACACATTCCGCGGCAGAAGCTGCTCGAGTCTGTAGCTCGCTTTGTGCGAGATAGCTGCCCCCAAGCGTTTGGCATTGACCTGATTCGAGAGTTTAAGGAGTGGTACGAGAGCGAGTTTGAGCGGCAAAAAGCTCAGTCAGGCCGCGGGGAAAGAAAGGTGCCGCAGCAACAGTTTCAGCATGTGGGCCAACAGCAGAGAAGGCAGGTGGTGCAGAACAAACAGATTCCGTTGCACATCCATCAAATGAAGCAGCAGCAGGCGCGATCCGCGGCCTTGCAGCCACCAGGCGCCAATGCGAAGATGCAGTATTCGATGCCGGGGACAGTTCCA